AGAGGCACTTGGAGTGAATGGGATCAAAGGTTACGGGGAGAAAGCAGGATTAGGCTAATGAGTTGGATGATCAGCCATGATCGTGAAGAATGGTGGAGCAGTGTCGAAGGGCCGAATGGCCGCCTCCTATCTTCTACGTTTCTATGAAGATTAAAGGGGCTGACTGGTCTACTCCTGCTCCTATATTCTATGTTTCTATGATACCTGGTTAGCATGAATGAGTTGGGCCGAAGCGTCTGTTTTCATGCTGTATTTGATTTGATTCATTGTAGTCACATGTACCTAAGTACAGTGAAAAGTTTAGTTTCGTGAACAGTAAAGACAGATCATAGCAAACAAGGACATACAGATCACAGAGTGCTCAGACAGATCGAGGCATACGAGGTTACAGTGCACAGGAGGGGCCACAAAGCGAGATCAACGTTAGAAGTTAGAGAGGTCCATTAAACAGTGTGATAACAGTGGGAAAGAAGTTGTTCCTCAAAAAGGAAGGTAGGCAGATCGCTGCAGCTGTTGAAAATCCGAAATACAAGAGGGTGGAGTGGCAGGGATACCCAGCACGGCCTGGCAGCTACTGAGGAGGGTGACAACAAGTTAGCATTTCGGGCAAAGCACAGTATGGGGCTCTCAAACATTAACTCTTTGAGGTGGAACCTGGTATCTTTAAGAATTCTTTAAGAAGAATTCTTCAAGAAGATTCTTGAAGAAGAAAGAGACTGATAAACCACAGGCCTATAAATGTGTAAATGGATTGGAAGCAGCCCAGAGGAGACGTACTGGACTAATAAAAACCAAAAGGACTGCAGATGTTGTAAATCAGGAACAAAAACAGAAAGTTGCTGGAAAAGCTCAGCAGGTCTGGCGGCATCTGTGAAGGAGAAAACAGAGTTAACGTTTCGGGTCCGGTGACCCTTCCTCAGAACTGATGGTGGCTGGGAAAACATCAGTTTATATGCAGAAAATAGGGAGGTGGGTGGGATAGGGAGCGAACGATAGGATAGAGCCCAAAGAGAGAGAAAGACAGTTGGACAGACAAAGGAGTTGCTAACGATCAGGCTGGGAGGGTGAGTAGTTGTTAATGGGGACTGGTAGTGACTAACAACAGCGGGTGTGTAATGACAGGCTATGTGGTAACAAGGCCTGGTGTGTGGGGTAGGGGGCTGGGACATGGGAGAGTTTAGGCCCTAAAATTATTGAACACAATATGGAGTCCAGAGGGCTGTAGGGTCCCCAAGTGGAAAATGAGGTGTTGTTCCTCCAGCTTGCGTTGGGCTTTGCTGGAACACTGCAGCAAGCCAGAGACAGAGATGTTGGCCAGGGACCAGGGTGGTGCATTGAAGTGGCAGGCAACAGGCAGTTCAGGGTCTTTTTTGCGAGCAGAACATAGATGTTCTGCGAAATGGTCACCCAATCTACACTTCTTTTACCCAATGTAGAGGAGACCACATTGTGAGCAGCGAATGCAGTAGACTAGATTCTGGGAAGTGCAGGTGAAGTGTTGCTTCACCTGGAAGGTATGTTTGGGCCCTTGGATACTGGGGACGGAGGAGCTAAATGGGCAGGTGTTGCACCTTCGCCAGTTACAGGGGAAAGTGCCGTAGGGCTGTTGGGGGGGTGTGGTAGGTGAAGGAAGTGTGGACTGGGTGTCCTGGAGGGAACAGTTCCTGCGGAAGGCGGACAAGGGAGGGGAGGGGAATATGTGTCTGTGGTGGCATCTTGCTGGAGGTGGCGGAAATGGCGTCTGATGATTCTTCTGGATGTGGATGCTGGTGGGATGGTAGGTGAGGATAAGGGGAACCCTATCGCTGTTGCGGGAGGGCAGAGAAGGGGTCAGGGCGGAAGTGCGGGAGATGGGTCGGACCTGGTTGAGGGCCCTGTTGGCAACGGAGCTGGGGAATCCTTGGTTGAGGAAGAAGGTGGACATTTCGGAGGCTCACTTGTTGAAGTTGGCCTCATCTGAACATATGCTGCGGAGATGGAGGAACTGAGAATGGGATGGAGTCTTTACAGGAAGTGGGGTGTGAGGATGTATAGTCCAGATAGCTGTGGGAGTCAGTGGGTTTGTAATGGATATTAGTGGCCAATCTATCCCCAGAAATGGAAACAGAAATGTCGATGAAGGGAAGGGAGGAGTTAAAGATAGACCAGGTGAAAGTGAGGGCAGGGTGGAAATTGGAGGCGAAATTGATGACTAATACCTGGTTATCCCATGAGTTGGGATTGGACAGGCTAAGCTCGGGCCTACTGGAGTTTAGCGGAAAACGAGGCAAATTGTTTGAATCAACCCTGAGGAATCTTGACGCGGTCGATGAAGATGTTTCCTCTTGTGTGAGAATAAGGATCACTGTTTACAAACCATTTTAAATGAGGAAGAACTTGAGGAGAATCTTGGAACGCAACTAAAGAGAGACACACCACACGTAGAGATATATACACGGTACAGAAACCCCTTAAATATTCAATCGTTTATTAAAACATTCATAGATAGTGAAGCGGATGTTCTGAGTGCCAACAGGGGGCGAAGGCATTTACAAAATTAAACTGATATCATTTAAAAGAATCCTTCACTGGATCTGGACTGGGAATGAGGATTTGTTTATTTTCCCGACCCACTCACATCCCAAGACAGATGTAGCTCGGAGACCAATAATCCATCGCTTTAAATCTCTCACACAAATCTCTAGCGTCTCACGCAGTCTGGTGTCATGGATTCCACTTGTCGAGTGCGTGGAGATTAATTTCTATCTTTGTTTTTTGTTTCAAACCTGCAGCTGGTCGTAGAAAAGAGGAGTAATCTGAAAAAGGTTTTGGAGCACCAAGCAGGAGGGTTCTGTTCCACAGAGGGGTTTTAATCCTTAGCCCCCCACCATCTCGGAATACAAAATATGTGGTTTGATTGAGCAGCTCGGAGATGCCGTTTGTGTTCTGCTACCATGCAAAACCACAGCGCCACAGGAGCAGCCAAACTAATGTGTCCCCCAGACTCTCTGCTTAAAGAAATGAGCCTTTACCGATGGTCCAAAGGATGAGTTTCTGGGTCCTGCATCTTAAGTTCGGTCCCCCCCGCCCCACCCCGAGTGGACAGAATAACGAGTGGAGAACACAAACTACGAGGATTTTGAGGTAAGGATCAGTTCGGCACGCTAAACGACTCTGGTCTGGCTGACTTGTGACTCCTCCAGCAACATGGTTGGTTGACTTTTATCTGCCCTATGGGCAATTAGGGATGGGCAACAGACAGAGATACCCTCAACCTGTGAGTGAAAAATGTCAAAAAAAAAATAAGGCGGCAGATAGATTGAGGATTTGGCCAAATCCTCAGAGACTGCAGTTTGAGGAATCAGTGTCTTTAGTCTTGCTCTAATGCCTTCATGCAATGTAAGCATTGCCTGTCCCTTGACAAGGTGGTGCTGAGCTGCCCACCTTGGTTTGGGTAGCATCGGGACACCCCTCAGTGACATAGGGGAGGGAGCTTCAGGATTTGGACCCAGCCGACAATGCGTGATCTGGAAGGGGAACTTGGAGGGGGTGGGGGGTGGTCTTCCCATGTATCTGCTGCCCTTGTCCTTCTAGATGGGTTTGGAAGGTGCTGTCTTAGGAGCCTTGGTATGTCTTGTAGACGGTACACACTGCTGCTACTGAGCGTCGGTGGCGGAGGGAGTGGATGCTTGTGGATATGGTGCCAATCCGTTTGTCCTGGATGGTGTCGAGCTGTTGTTGGGGGCTATTGGTTTAAGCGCTCCCATTCCCTACCTACTGAGCATGCCCAGGAACTTGGAGAGAGGGGGGTGGTCTTCCCATGTATCTGCTGCCCTTGTCCTTCTAGATGGAAGTGGTCATGGGTTTGGAAGGTGCTGTCTTAGGAGCCCGGGAGCTATCAGCGTCGGGATCATTTGCATTGCAGGTGAGGAACAACGCTGCCTCGTTCTGGAGTGGCTTTCTGCTCTTTTCCCAGTCCTTCTGCCCTCTACAGTTCCAGACGGCCATTCCTGGTGGCCTAGCTGAGGAATCAGGTGTTGGGCAGGCCAGTCAAAGACGGAGAGGGTGTGTTTGACCCATTTTGAACACGCACACACACAAAGCTAGCAATTGTAGGAGGCGTTAGTGCACAGTGAGTGGCAGTGGACAGGTGGTGGGAGATGGGATCAATAAGGCTGAGTCAGCTCCATATGTAATGGGATTTGGAACTCCTGCCCATTTGGTGCAACAAGCAGTGCACTTTCTCACTACGCCAGGAGGAGGCGCTCTTCTGGGAGGGCTGACCTAATTCAGCTATTGTGTTTCGATGGAGTTTGTTATTGTTAAGTGGCATTGACCCAGGACAGGGACAGCACGGGGTTAGATACAGAGTAAAGCTCCCTCTACACTGTCCCCCCATCAAACACTCCCAGGACAGGGACAGCATGGGGTTAGATACAGAGTGAAGCTCCCTCTACACTGTCCCCCACATCAAACATCCCAGGGCAGGGACAGCATGGGGTTAGATACAGGGTAAAGCTCCCTCTACACTGTCCTCCCATCAAACACTCCCAGGACAGGGACAGCACGGGGTCCAATACAGAGTAAAGCTCTCTCTACACCAATCACAGTAACCCGATGCCCAGTTATAAGCGACACACTCACTGCTGTAACCTATTCCCTGTTCGAGCCTGTCCCCACATGGTCTCTCCCAGTGTGTGGTATCTGAGCGATCGTGACAACTTGGGGCCGGGTGAAAAGGCAGTTTTATCGATGCTGAGGGGGCTGGTCAGAAACCTTCCCCCATTTTCTGAACGCAAACACCACTTTGAAAGCGACCAGTCAGCTTCAGGGCGAGTGACAGAAATCCTAGGACCACAGAGACTGAAAGTGGAGGCAAATCCCACTCCCTCCCCCAAATCATCTCTACCCCTTGTATTATGTTGTGGGTTCGGAGTGCCTCGCTCGCGGTAGGAGCGTTGAGGGCGGAGAGAGCAGGAAGGCAGGCGGGGCGGGGGCTCGGCTGGGTAAGGGGGGGGTTGCAAAGTGGGGTTGGAGGTGGTGGGAGGGGTGGGGGGGGGTTGCCAGCCCGTAAATATGTGGCCTTTCTGCTAAGGTTTGCTGCTTCCCTCCCAACGCAATCAAGGGCTGAAACTCAGGATGAGATTGACGTACGGTATTCCATGCGTGCTACCGACCCCCCCAAACTCCCGTCTCCCCGTCCCGTCAGACCAGGGAGAGAGCTGCAAGCAAACCAATAACGACGGTCATGCAGGCCTGGTGTGCTCCGCCACTGCCGCTGAACCTGACGTTATAGACAGCCAGCACTTCCTCCAGCCTGTCCTCTCTGGCGATGCATCGGAATTCTCCGCTGCTCACTGGGTGATGCCTGTTGAATATCAGCAGGCAGGAGTCATCTTTGATGGTACAGGGAAACTGGTCCTTCTGGTTATAGCTCCAAGTGTAGATGGCGTGGTAGGACTCGACTGGGCAGGGCAGGTACAGGTATGCAGGCGAATGGACAGTCAGCACTTGGGGCTGTTTGTTGAAAGACATCGTACCTAGGGTGGAGGAAGCAGAGAGATCCATCAGATTCCCACCCATCACTCGTTGCCCGACATTGGGAGCTGTCAGGGCTGTGCACGTTCCACCTGCAGCAGGAGAGAGAGAGGAACGGCCAGTGTTGGGATGGTCACGTGCCATCCAGGCCAGCGGGGATGATGGGACAGGCTTGGGGGGAGTCAGGAGGGGAGTCCCTCGTAAAACGGGCACAGCACAGGGTTAGATACAGAATAAAGCTCTCTCTACACTGTCCCCCCCATCAAACACTCCCAGGGCAGGGGCAGCATGGGGTTAGACACAGAATAAAGCCTCTCTACTCTTTTAAACTGAGCAGCAGAGGAGGGAGCAAATGGGGAGGTGATGGCTTCGTCATATTATCTCTGGATCGTTAACCCAGAGATCCAGGTAATGTTCTGGATACCTGGGTTTGAATCCCACCACAGCAGATGGTGGAAACTAAATTCAATAGAAATTTGGAATTAAGTGTCTAATGAATCCAGTGTCGATTGTTGGGAAAATCCCATCTTGTTCACTAATGTCCTTTAGGGAAGGGAACTGCCATCCTTAACTGGTCTGGCCTACACGTGACTCCAGACCCACAACCAATGTGGTTGACTCTTATACTGCCCTCTGGGCAATTAGGGATGGGCAATAAATACTGGCTGACCATCAACACCCTCATCTTGTGAATGAATTTTTAAGAAATCCCCCCCATATGAGGGAGGGAAAGGGGTAGGGCTTAGTGGTGCATTGCGAAGGTCTGTTGGAAAGGGCAGGTATGGAAAGAGAAATCAGAACTTGGCTGCAATAGCCTTCACAGTCAAATAGCCTATGGCACCTCATTGACGTGAAGAGCAGCTGGGAGGTGTTAGCGGGTGGCAAAGGCAGCTGGAGTGGGCACCTTGAGGTGCAGCAGGTGGTTAGATGGGGTAGTAACAGACAGTTATTTGCCCCCTAGGTCAGAGTTGACCTGTCTGGGTCAGTAAAAGAGATGGAAAGATTACCTGCATCATCATCACAGATCGAGACATTGAGCTGTTCAATACTCTGGAGGATCTCACTGTGGTGTGAAACAAAACAATATTCATTGGACCTTGTCACCTGGTTAGACCCGCAAACTATACATCTCAGTCAAATTCAGATCGCAGAATGTTGTCTTCATCAGAATGCACTGTCCCCCATCAAACACTCCCAGGGACAGGGACAGCACGGGGTTAAATACAGAGTAAAGCTCCCTCTGCACTGTCCCCCCCATCAAACACTCCCAGGACAGGGACAGCACGGGGTTAAATACAGAGTAAAGCTCCCTCTACACTGTCCCCCCATCAAACACTGTCAGGTCAGGGACAGCACGGGGTTAGATACAGAGTAAAGCTCCCTCTACACTGTCCCCCCCATCAAACACTCCCAGGACAGGGACAGCATGCGGTTAGATACAGAGTAAAGCTCTCTCTACACTGTCCCCCAATCAAACACTCCCAGGACAGGGGCAGCACGGGGTTAGGTACAGAGTAAAGCTCCCTCTACACTGTCCCCCATCAAACACCCCCAGGACAGGGACAGCATGGGGTTAAATACAGAGTAAAGCTCCCTCTACACTGTCCTCCCCATCAAACACTCCCAGGACAGGGGCAGCACGGGGTTAAATACAGAGTAAAGCTGGCTCTACACTGTCCCCCCATCAAACACTCCCAGGACAGGGGCAGCATGGGGTTAAATACAGAGTAAAGCTTCCTCTACACTGTCCCCCACCATCAATCATTCCCAGGACAGGGACAGGAGTCATATGTAAACATTTCCCGTTCACATGCTGATTGTCAGATGCCTAGTGTCCATTGTCTGGAGCAGAAATGCAGTTCCCACTCTTGCTGGTCTGCCTGTCTGTCCGAATCTGTTCAAAGGTCATTAATAATGGCGTCATGTGCCAGTATGCCAGGAGTAGGAAGATGCTAAGTGTTTGAGCGATAGGAGAAAGACAGTGGGCACACGAAAAAGTGAATGAGAGAGACGGAATGGGGATGGGAGCGCTGAAATGGGATTGGCCAGACGCATTATACAGAGGCCAGTATACGGAGGTATACAATCACAAAAAGTTGGTTTGCAGGTGCAGCAGGTAATTACGAAGGCAAATGGAATATTGTCCCTTATTGCCAGAGGGATGGAGTTTACAAACAGGGAGGTTATGCTGCAGCTGTATAGGGAGCTGGTGAGGCTATACTTGGAGTACTGTGTACAATTTTGGTCTCCTTACCTGAGAAAGGACGTACTGGGCACTGGAGGGGGAGCAGGGGAGATTCGCTAGGTTGGTTCCAGAGCTGAGAGGATCGGAATATGAGGAGAGATTGAGTAGACTGGGATTATACTCATTGGAATTTAGAAGAATGAGGGGAGATCTTACAGAAATGTATAAAATGATGAAGGGAATAGATCAGGTAGAAGCAGGGAGGACGTTCCCATTGGTGGGTGAAGCTAGAACGAGGGGGGCACAGCCTCAAAATAAAGGGGGGAGCAACATTTGGGACTGAATTGAGGAGGAACCTCTTCACCCAAAGGGTTGGGAATCTGTGGAATTCCCTGCCCAGTGAGGCTGCCTCGTTGGATGTTTTTAAGGCAAAGATAGATTTTGGAACAGGAAAGGGATTAAGGGTGAGCGGGCGGGTACAGGGAGCTGAGTCCACGAAAAGATCAGCCACGATCTTATTGAATGGCAGAGGCAGGCTCAAGGGGCCTACTCCTGCTCCCATTTGTTTTGTTCTTACATACCTCTCAGTATTGTTCGGTGCTGCAGCAACTGGCACACACCTCTTGCCGAACTGATGCCACCCACAGTACGGGTCTCTGGCAGCGACGCACTGCCGACAAGTGCTGCCATATGGCTCGCAGTTCGCCAGGGGGAGTCGGACCGTCTCCAAGGGGGTCCCGACGAACAGCTGTCCCTGGGTGGGAACAAGCGAGAGGGTTAGCGCTCTGCGTCCCGACTTGCCATCTCCCTGGCGCCTTCCGAGTTGGCAAGTGAAACGCAGACTCCAAAGGCAAAAGCAGGATCGGTTGAGGGAGTTGAGAGTCTGTGCCTCCGAGCCAATCCCAGCACAAGTGTCCCTGCCCTCCTCGGTTTTCCTGACAATCTCTGATGCTTTGCTATGTAGCCTTTCCCCCCACCTTCTTTCCCCTCCCTGTCCTCCCCTCCTGAGGTACAGTGACAGGGAGACTCTTGGTGATCCCCCTCACTGGGGGCATGCTACCCAGAGTGAAGTCAGCTATGGGGACATGGATAGGAAGGGTTTGGAGGGATAGGGGCTAAATGCCGGCAAACGGGACTAGATTAGTTTAGGATATCTGGGTCGGCACGGACAAGTTGGGCCGAAGGTTCTGTTCCTGTGCCTATGACCATCTGAACCCCACCTCGAAACTGACGCGGGGGAGAGGTCCCGTTCTGGTCCAATTATACCACCCATCCCACCACAAATTTTCCGTCGTCCATCTCTGTCCTGCCCACTTGCGAGATTCCAACCTGACGAGTGCAGGCTGCGTTTACTTAGCACCTTCAGTCTGGTCAAACACTGCCACACCAAACCGCTCCCCCCCACACCCTGTCAAAACAGGGGCACTTCCGATGTGTGCCAGAGTGAGGCAGAACTCGACCCGAGGAGGTACAGAGAGAGGTGACGACAGGCTGTCCCTGACTGATTGAGAGCGGCTGATCATAGTCCTACCGTGCTGGAGTCCAGTGTCATGGCCGAGACGGGAGCGTCAGTCTTAAAGGGGCTGAGCTCCGAGATGATAAAGGACTCCCCATCGTTGTGCAGGACTTTGTGGATCTTCCCGTTCCCTTTGAAGAGGAAAAAAGTACGAAGCGTTTACCATCAGGAGCCCCCCATGCACCCACCCAGCAAAACACCCGCCAGCCTCTTAAACATGCCTTGTCCACGCTCATAGAGACAAGAGGCCATTCGAGCAGCGTGCCTGTACAGGCTCACAAAAGAGAGTTGCATGGAATGGTCCAGTGGGTCCCAACTTGTGTAGACTGGGACTATACTGTTTGGAATTTAGAAGAATGAAGGGTGGGGATCTTTCAGAAACGTATAAAATTATGAAGGGGATAGATAAGGTAGAAGCAGGGAGGACGTTCCCATTGGTGGGTGACACTGGAACGAGGTGGGGCATAGCCTCAAAATAAAGGGGGAGCAGATTTTGGATTGAGTTGAGGAGGAACTTATTCACCCAAAGGGTTAGGAATCTGTGGAATTCCCTGCCCAGTGAGGCTGCCTCATTGAATGTTTTTTTTAAGGCAAAGATAGATTTTGGAACAGGAAACGGATTAAGGGTGAGCGGGCGGGTACAGGGAGCTGAGTCCACGAAAAGATCAGCCACGATCTTATTGAATGCCGGAGCAAGGTCGAGGGGGCCGAGTGGCCTACCCTGGCTCCTGTTTCTTACATTCTTCATCCCACTCTCCAGCTTTATCTCCGTCACCTCTTCATGTTCACTGTCAATAACAACAAGAGGTCCTGCCTCTTCCCACCCCGGGGCGGGAGGGAGTGGAGGGGGAGGGGGCTTTGCAGGAGGAAGGTTATGGTCCCTACCAGTCTGGAGCGACCCACTGTAGGTTCAAGTAGCAGGGGAATGTAGGGCTTCAGGAGCGAACATTAGGCCTCCCCAGAGCATTCTCCACCGTTGGACAAAGTATCGCTGGTGGATCCCATCCCGTTCCGAATGCTCATGTCCCACCCACCCACCGGCCTTAAAAAGCTTCAGTGACCCATTGCCTGAGGCAGACGGCTCCAAGACCCTCTGAGAGGAACATACTCGTCTCGTTTCTGTCCCTCGTTTCAAAATGCTGCTCCCTCAGTTCGGGAGGACACCACAAGACGGAACGTCCATCTTGTCCAGGCCGTTCAGAATCTTGCACACTTCAATCGAGCTGCCCCTCACTCTTCAAGCCCCCAGGGCAAAACAGACCCTGTCTGCCTGACTTACTGTTTGTTGGCCGCACCGTTCATTCCAGGTACCAATCCAGTGAACCGCATCCTTCCGTAAGTAAGGACAGCCAAAAGGAAGGGAAGGCAACTGAAGTATCATGGAATCCCTATGGTGTGGGAACAGGCTGCTCGGCCCATCGAGTCCACACCGACCCTCTGAAGAGCATCCCACCCAGTCCCAGCCTCCTACCCTATCCCTGTAATCCTGCCTTTCCCATGGCCAGTCCACCCTAACCTGCACATCCCTGGGCACTACGGGACAATTTAGCACGGCCAATCCACCCTAACCTGCGCATCTTTGGACTGTGGGAGGAAACTGGAGGACCCGGAGGAAACCAATGCAGACACGAGGAGAACGTGCAAACTCTACATGGACAGTCACCCGAGGGTGAGATTGAACCCGGGTCCCTGGTGCTGTGAGACAGCAGTGCTAACCACTGAGCCACCTATTAATCCAGAAACCCCAGGAACGATGTAGGGACCTGGGTTCACATCCAGCCATGGCAGATGGTGGAATTTGAACCCAATTAAAAAATATGGAATCCAGAGTCAAATGATGACGATGAATCAGTTGTTGATAGTGAGGGTAAAAAAAAACCAACCTGGCTCACTAATGTCCTTTAGGGATATAAACTGCCATCCTCACCTGCCCTCTGGGCAATATGTGGATGAAATGGCCTAGTGGTATTATCGCTGGACTGTTATTCCAGAGACCCAGATAACGTTCTGAGGATCCAGGTTCGAATCCCGCCACGGCAGATGGTGGAATTTGAATTCAATAAAAAATATCTGGAATTAAGACTCTGATGACGACCACGAACACAGTGTCGATTGTCAGGAAAAGCTCAACTGGGTTCACTCATGTCCTTCCTTTCTGGAAGGAAACTGCCATCCTTACCTGCTCTGGGCCCACATGTGACTCCAGACTCACAGCAATGTGGTTGACTCTAAACTGCCCTCTGGGCAATTAGGGATGGGGCAATAAATGCTGCCTGGCCGATGAATGAATTAAAAAGAAAACACATTGATGCAATTGCTCAACATACCTGTGCCAATGAACAGGACGGGATAGTAGTTCTGATTCGTAGCCTTCACCCGGTCAACTGTGATCTTAGTGTAGCTGGTGTGCTTGATGGTGTAGAGCGGCTGGTCTTTCATGGGGGAGATGGAGTCCTCAATCTCTGGGTAGGTCCTGATCGCTGACAAGACATTTTTCGGAAGATTGCTGAT